AATGTATACATATAAAACGTATTAGGAAATAAAAATAAAATATTATCTTTTAAAAAAATTAAAATAAATTATATAATATAAGAAATTGTATTAAAAATAAAAAATATATATACTTGTAATAAGAAATGAAAATTAAAATATATGACATTAAAAATATATTTAAAAATGACATTATATAAAAATTAACAATAACAAAATACATGTTAAACTTGTATTTTAATATATAAGGGTAGTTTTGGAAATTAACATTACATACCCTGTAAATTATTTGTAAAACAAACATTGCAATGTTATCTTCTCTGCATTTTAATCATTACTTTACTTATATAACAAACATTGTAATGTTATCTTCCCCATAATCAAATTGCTTTACCTGCAATCACATTACTTGTAATCATAGTGCATTGTAAAGTACGAAATGCTACCTTATTGTAAAGTAGACTAATGGTGAATTTTCCTTGAAAGTGCCTATGCTTGTTTCGTACAAAACTCTTGTTCAGTCTTTGTTAAAGAAATTTCAAAAGGTGAGATGTGAACATACTCCGAGAACAACGAACTATTATGTAGATGCACCTACTACATTGGCTTCTACAATCTATATTTCAGAGAAAGAACAAAGCATTGCTGGAGTTGTACCTAAAAGGATTATCCTATGTCCATCTAGTGAGCTATTGCAGCCTTTAGTTTTTGAGGAAGAGGATTGGTGAAAACCTATCATAGAAGAGCTGTTTAATCCCAGTTCTACTACTATTCCATGCTTGAAGCATTACATTTTGATTCATGGTACACTTTACCACAAAAGAAGTAATGGAATTCTAGCAAGATGTGGTTCTGAGGGAGAGGCAAAAGAAAGATTGAGAATAGCCCATTAACAATGGTGTGGGGAGGAATGACCACCTTTACATCGCTTACTCCAAAGAGCAGTATATTTTTAGCCATCTATGTCCAATGACGCTTTACCGCTTCAAAAGGCTTACACTTGATGTTCTAAACCACCAGATGTACAAGAGTGCAATTTTATGGGAAGTGCTGGTAATTGGCGTAGGTCTTATATTAATTTTCTCTAAAATAGAATATCACTAACTAACTTTCAAGATGCAAGACAACTCAATAGAAAAACTCAACGTTTCTTCCTCAAAAGATATGACTTGTTTAGACTCTCATTTGCAAGAACACCATTGAAGTGTATTTCCCTAGCTGATGTCAATCCATTATTGGAAGAAGTGCATGCAAGTTGTAACAGAGAACATGAATGTGGCAGGAAACTTTATCAGAAGCTTTTGGATCTTAGGTATTATTGACCTTCTATGAAAACGGATGCAGTGAATTATGCTAGGAAGTGTTATCTGTGTTAGATTTATAGGAATACTATACATGCTCCGCTGTACAACTTCATAGCGTCATTACTATGGAAACGGATGTAGTGAATTATGCTAGGGCATTTGATTTGGTTGGACTTATCAATCCTCCTTCTAAAGGATATACTTGGATATTAGCAGTAAGAGAGTGCTTTACTAAATGGGTTGAAGATATTTCTTTACAGAATGTGATTGGTTCGACTGTGGCAAATTTCATTAAGGAAAACATCATTTGCAGGTTCGGCATACCTAGACGTATTTTTTCAGATAATGGTACTCCATTCATTAATGCTAGTGTAAGGGAATTACTTGCCCTTTACAATGTGGATCATGTGAAGTTTACTCTTTACTACTCGAAAGAAAATGGTCAAGCTGAAGCTACTAACAAGACTTCACTCAAAATAATTAGTAGAATGGTGCATGAAAAACTAAAGATGTGGCATGACGCACTTCCAGTAGCATTATGGGCGTATAGGACTTCTAAGCGTGGACTTACTAAGGCAACTCCTTTTTCACTAGTATATGGGACAAAGGCTGTACTACTAGCGAAAATTCTAGTTCCATCTACAAGATTAACCTTAAACATTGAATTTGATAATGATACTTTATGGATGTTAAAATTAGAAGCGCTAGAGGAAAAAAGAGATTGAGCAA